GTGTACATTGTGGAGCCCTGCCAAAAATGCTGCACGCACGATTTTTAGTCTGTTGTGGTGTGTTAAGCAACCCTATCATTAATGCCCATTGTTGTGTGACACAAAGGTCTTTAATGCACATATATTTAACAGCACTGCATCGAAACAGGCTGGTGTGAATGAGCCCTGTGTATTTTACATGTTTTGCCAGAAATTGCTCATGTAGTAGGATACTCTATCCCCACCCAATGCTCTGTCTCTTTTGCTCCTTTATCAGCCATTTGTTATTTGTTTTCCTAAATGCAGCTCTTTATCATATAAGAAGGGGCAGGACTGGGTGAAGCCACATTGTGCTGTACAATTATAGTCTCTGCCTCTTATGCAAATATAGGAATAAGATGAATTACTGAGTGGGAAGTGTGGAAAGCCTATGACCTCTGAGTGGTGCAGCCATCCGAAATCAAGACAAGAGGTCATTAAGAATCCTAGGTTCTGTACAGAAGCTGGGAGACCTCCTGGAAAAGTCACAATACACATAGGAAGGCTCATTGTTAATGGACAGCGAGCTTTGCTATGTACACTGTGACCCATCTGTGGTGTGTGAAGGTCCATGGAGTTATCTCTTCTTATAGAGGAACTTCACCTGGTTTTCAATAAAGTAAAGTTGACCAAAATCAGATTGCTTCATCTACGCTATACAGGGAGGATGGGCAAATTCCTCACTGTGCCTGTTGTATTGCGGCTGCTACTGATTGGATGCAGCTACTGTTTGGCTGAAAATTTTCTGTAAGGCTCCTTCAGTGGAAAAAGTTAGTAGAGGGCCAACAGTGCCAACCATGTAGTGAATTTAGTCTGCTCCATCAGAAACGAACCAAAATTTACATGGTGTATGGCCAACTTTAAAGTCAGCAGTTACTGTAGCTGGGGAATTAAAAAAACCCCATATGCTTACAAGCTCAAAAAACGCGCTCGAAACCAGTGCCTTACGTCACTTCAATGCTGCTTTCTTTCCTGTGCCGCCATCTTGGATTTGGGAGTGGGCTGTGACATGAGTGAAATTGGCTTACTTGGGAAGACTGTAATGTAGTCTCCTGGGATGTTGGACCTGATCCCAGGAGGTCGCGGGTGGGGTCAGACCAAGATATCATCCTTACCTAGACGAGCAATTGAGAACAAGTACCTGTTTAAAAATAAACACATTTCAAATGAGTAAAATGGAAAGGGGAGGGTTAAGGATTATGTAATGTCTAAAATGCTAGTGAAGGTCCGCAGACAATGAGCAGAGAGACCTCCATGATGGGAGGAGAGCCATACATATAACTTTAACAGGTCACGTTTTGGAAGTGTGCTTGCCTGTGCTATTTTTAACTTGCAAATTTAGAGTGTTTGCATTAAAAAAAAATAGTTCTGCTTGAATTTAATTGAGCCTAATGTGAAGAGTCTGCTTTCCTTAGCTGTGTGATGCTCCATGTAAGGCATGCCATTCCTTCATAAATCAGTGCGCTCTCCGGCAACTTTTATAAGGATCTGTAAAGTTAACTTCATTTTCTGTTTTGTTTTGACATTTAAACAATCTGCATAATAGCCTTTTATTCATATGCATGAAATTATATTTCCATGAGTCATCCTTTTTCTAATTTACTATGAAATTTAATGAAACTGTCGCTACAGTTTAGTATTCTACTAGCATTCTAGTATCAAAGGACAGAGAAGAGAAAAATAAAAACAGGGGCAATTATGGAGAAGAAATTTTACATGAAGTAGAGTGTCCCCATAATGATTAAAGCACAACAGGTAAATTGCTGTCAATTAAGATTTTCTAATTTTTTTTTTTTTATTTTTTGGAAGGGATGGTATTGTTATGTACACCGAATGGATTTTAAACATTAATAATACTTCAAAGTACATGCCAGTCAAACATGAAAAGCCTTTGCATTCAAAATGACCCGAGAGAGAGCCTACCTGCTGCATGCATCTCGTTTTTTCATACCTGGGTGATCTTCTAGCTAAATCCATATGTTTTTATGGTAACATAGTCTGCTGAATGACCATAATCAATGCTGCAAAAATGTGTTCACTGGTTCAAGCCCTGCCCTCTCTAAAGCTGGCTATACATAGATCGAATTTTGGATGATTCAGCCAGAAATACGTTCCGTGGGTGACCCTGTCAGCACCACCAGGTTCGACAAAAGTTTTTTTTGTTTTTTTTTAAGGAGCTTGGCAGGATATTTTGCTGAAAAGCAACTGCATTTAATCAGATGCACCCACTGTTTGGCTATTCTGACAGCTCGGGTGATGGCAGTCAGAATACAATAGCCAACACTGCAGATCTATCCATCCATACTGTTTAGTGTCAATGGAAAATCTGTGTGGCCAAGACAAACCTACTCCTTACCTACATAAACGCTGCAGCTTTAGGCCTCATGTACACAGAACGTTTTGCCAACTTTCCTAGAAGCCTTTCCTCCTGGCAGCAGCATTTTGGCAGAAAAAAAACGCCTAATGCTTGTAAAAAGTGTGTAACGTGTTTAGGCGCGTCAACCGCTTGGGCATTAATTCATTTCATTGGCCAGAATGATCATTTATTCTGGCCATTGAAATAAATTAATTCTCAAGCATTAAACTTGCCTGAAGTTAACGCAAGTTTAGGCACACTTACAAGCATCAAGCATTTTTTCTGCCAAAACACTGCAACGCCTGAACATACTGGCAGTGGGTTTTGTTTCAGCCTCTAAACTCCTCCAAAAGCCTATGTGTGCATGGACTTATAGGCTAACATGGAGGGATGTTTAGAAACAAAAAAAAAACCCACTAGACACCCCTAGGAGCAGATGAAAAAAATGTCCAGTGTGGATGAGGCCTTAGAGGTTACACATCACAACATCATGTAATTAGAGGCTGCAAATTACACCCAGGATCCATGTGAGGGGCCTGCTGAATGTTCTATGAACTGGGTAACCTTTCTGATTATGACAATTCTGTAGAGTTCCCTGGAAATCATTAGCATCTCCTTGCTTAATTTTACTTTTTTTCCTGGAGTTTAAACAAGGTAGCTGGATTAAAACCGGTAGTAAAATACGCCTAGGGGTTGATTTACTAAAGACAAATAGATTGTTCACTTTGCAAAGGAAATTGAGCTTTCCAAAAGGAATCTTCCCCAGAGCTTAGTGAATAAGGTAAAGCTCTACTAACTTCCATCATCCAACCATGTGCAAGCAAAAATGCAGTTTTTTTTTCCCATGCACATGATTTGGTATTCTTTGTAAAGTGAAATTTCACTACATTCAGTAAGCTCTGTGGAAAATTCCCTTGCAAAGTTCAATTTTTCTTGAAAAGTGAACAGCCTATTTGACTTTAGTAACTCAACCCCTTTGGGTAGATCTTATTTTTGGAAGTTGCTACTTAGCAAGTCACTGACCTTGGACTTCATATATGACAGACAGGCGTCTGGACCTCACTGGTTACATACTTGCTACATCCAAAACATGTATACAGTGTCCATTTCCATATTTCCTTCAGTTTTGATTTGTGTAATAGGGTAATGTACATGTGCATGCATATATATGTGGGAGTCTGAAAGAACTGTATGTTTGCCATGGCCAGATCTAAAGGGGTGCTGGATTGGGCTGTGCCCGCCCCCCAAGATTTTGGCGTTGCCCCCCCCAGGAACATGGCATCAGCAGGGTAGACCCTATAATGAAGCACTGAACTACCACTGTGCTATGTTACTAATCTCAGTTTGCATCATTCTTCCACTTCTGTACCAATGAACAAGAAAGCCAGAATGTGATTGGTTTCTACAGGATTCACGCTGTTCCGTATGCATGCTACGCAAATGATAATGTACATATGTAGGTGTGACTAGGCCCATAGAATTTCCTTTCGTCTTACACACTAAACTGCTGCACATAGATGTAGACCAGCCACATAGGAAAAAATAGGACTTCTACTTGACATGCATTTTGTACAACCAAATGAATGGGTTTTGCTGCATGAAAACAGACAAATGTAAATAGGCCCTAATGTTTTCATACACGAGGCCTAATGAATAAACCCTAGAAGCAATTAATGACAGCTAATGTAACCCATCCTGTAAACTAGCTTGCATTTGTGTGTGAAGTAATAGATTAAAAATGGCAGTTGATGGTGGCTAAATGTACTAAAATCGATGGATTGACCTAAAAGGAGCATATTTGTTCTATTGTGTGGATCACGCCTAAAAATGGCTCCCCCCTGCAGTCGTATTTCATTGTCTTTGCTAACAGCATCCAGTAACTACAAACATAAAGCCAACATGATCAGCTGTGTTTGACTATTTCCCTCTTGCGCTGTAAGAAAATGCTGGAAAGAGAGCATGGAGAACATGGATGTTGTCACATGCAGCAGATACCTTAGTACGGGCTGCTTCAGTATTATAAAAATAGAAAGCATAAAATGCACGGCATGGTGGTTAGTACTGTATGCACAGATGGCTGTTCATCAGTATTTCAGCAAGTTAACTGTGTAAAAAAAAGGTGTTTCTTCTCGACAGGAAGGGCTTGTGACATGACAATCTTCATACTAATAATCTCTACAAACATCGCCTGTCCACAGAGTGCAGGAATTAACATGAAACGGTCCATCTTCAGCATCACTTGATTAAGCGCAATCCCCCCCCCCCCCCCCCCTCCCTTTCCCTCTTTGCCAACTGCTTAGTTGTTAGAGGTGCTAGGGGCTGCTTGCCATATTATCTTATACCCAGAGCACTGTCAGCACATTGTGTTACGTATTTCTTCACTGGATAATATTTAGGACTCCAGCTTTGGAGCTGTATACAGGGTGCCAGAACCTAACTACCTCTGTGTGGTCTTCAGTTCCTTAGCTGTGTTTATTGCTTGCCGTGACTGCCTAATTGGCTCAGATTGGCAATCTGGTGGCTCTGCCATTATTATTAGATTACTCAAGACCCAGTGTGAGCTCTCACCGGCTGCTCAGCCTCTGTAAGCTCATTTAGGTAAAACAGCATTTACTGCAGTGTAGAGAATTCTTCTCTTAGATATGGTATTGTTCAGTAGGGTGGTTTGAAGAACAATGATGATGTACAAATGCAGCAACCCATAGTAACCAGCTAGGTTTCAGTTTACTACAGTCATACCCAGGGGCAGACTGACAACTCATGGGGCCCCCGGGCAATAGGGATCATGGGGCCACTGTGTCCTTGCCCAAACTCAAAAAAGCCTATGAAAAATGTACCAGGGGCATCTCAAGGGGCCCCCTACTGACCCCGGGCCCTCGGGCAGTGCCCGAGTTTCCAAATGGTCAGTCCGCCCCTGGTCATACCCTTTTAAAAATATTTCTAATTGCCAATCCTTAATTGCTGCACAATTGTTTTTTTTTTTGCCTTATTGAACATCTCTTATTGAGATGTCAATGGCTACATAGTTAGCCTGGCTAAAAAAAAAGACAAAAGTCCATCCAGTTCAACCATTAAAAAAAAAAAAAAAGTTATCCTATACCCACAGTTGATCCAGAGGAAGGCAAAACAAACCCAGCAAAGCATGATCCAATTTGTTCCTTCAGGGAAAAAAAATTCCTCCCTGATCCCCCGAGAGGCAATTGGATATTCCCTGGATCAACTTTACCTATAAATGTTAGTATCCAGTTATATTCTGTGTATCTAAGAAAGAATCCAGGCCTTTTTTTTTAAAGCAATCCACTGAGTTGGCCAGTGAATGGTGGAACTATGAAGACAAATGAGGACTTCTGTGCTTTATTTGTCACAGGTGCACTTTACACAAATTCTGCCCCTGGAGGTTGTAGCCTCCCTAGCGGTATGATTATGTCAGTATTTCTGTGCTCAAAGCGGTACTTTTTTTTTGCATGGAAATATGCTGTTTTTTTATTGTAGTAGGCCTGTAATTCTTAGGAATAACTCACTGAAATCTGTCTGAACAAGAGTCTAGTAAATATACCGGGTATGTTAAAATTTGAAATATGAAATCATAAATTATAATTTAATAAATAATCATAAAAAATAATAATATAATAATAAATTTAATTCAATAATGTAATCAAACCAAAACACTGAAACTTCCCATAGGATTATAGGATTATAATCCCATAGGATTGTATGTGCATTTAACATATTTTATGCATGGTAATTTTTGGCAGGTGCAGTTTGTTGCTTCCACTGCAGGTGGCGCTCATAATGAGTGCCACCTCAGCCTGGAGAGGAAGCTCAAGGGAAAAAAACAAAGTTTCTCTATGGTTTCTGGGGTCAATGGAGCAGTGTTCTGGTTGGCTAGGCTGAATCCATGTGACCCTCAGAGGCTATATTGAGTCAGCAGGGTCTGTTTAAGTCCCTTCCCCTGGGTTTTGGTGTGCTTATGGCAAGTGGCTAGAGAAGGGAGAGAGACCCCACGTGTTAGGGAAAGTAACTAGTAGTAGCAAAAGGCTCCTGGAGAGGAAGGAAAGATTAGGGACATACTATTCTGAAAGGAGCTTCCCTCTTGGGACTGGGCCGACTAGGCCATGTTTCACCCTCTGAAACCGATGCTGTCAGCACCTCCTACACTCCTGACTACATTGAACTGTGAGTTATTTCCTTAGCGTGTGTTCTCCCGCCAGGGTGTCTTTAATGTTGGCATTCCGTGTAATATAAATGTAAATATTTGCTGCAGCCGGACTTTGTTTATTTACTAACCACACCACACTGCACCTACTCACATGTTTACCTAGAAAAGCCTCCATTGTGAAGATATCTATAAGCCCTGAGACTGGTATAGGGTGCTACCATCTTGGATGTGATGTCAGCAACCCTAGCAGTCTCAAGTAATATTCTGTAGTATTCCCCCTCATCCTTCCAGGCAGCTACATAAAAATGTACTTAGATAAGTGAAAGTAGGAGCTGGGGCAGCATAAGGAGTCTTTAGACACATCCAGAAGAGGAGAGAGCCAAATCCAAAAGGAGGGAGGAGGTCATGCTAGGGAATTAACACTTCTGCAGTAGTCAGATTTTCTAGCAAGTACAAAGACATAAAAGCATTCATGGAAGAAAAAAATGTAAGCATTTAAAAATATTTGATTTTTTCCATACTTTTATCTGCAAATTTTCATCGTGTGACAGAGTCTCTTTCATCATACATGCTTGGGTTACCCAAGCCTGCGTGTTTATGTCAGTGCAGGCCTTGAAGGGATCACAACCTGACACCTCCAGTGCTGGCTTATCATGGAGAGACAGTAATGATCAACTGAAAATATCCAACACAACCAATTACTATCCCCCACCCCCCTTGCTGAGGGTGCCTGTGTCAGGCTGATGGCATCCAGTCATGAGGCTGGTTGTGGTTCCCCAGTCCAGCCAAACATGGACCATGCAGTGATTTGTCCTCAGTCTGTAAAACTGTCATAAACTAGATGTATCCAGTCCTAGAGGTCTGTCCCACTTCTCTCTGGTAACAGTTAATTATGGCTCCATTGTGTGTAATGAGATAAGTAAAAGGTCAGTAATAAAAGGGTGATTGTGAGGAGAAGGGAGTAGAGAAGGAGAGAGGAAATTGGATGGGAGAAGATAATGGAGGCAGAACATGCGGAAAATAAAATGCTATGTGAGGAGTTAAATGAATGGAGAAAAGAGATTGGAGGGTGGGTAAAAGTGGCAGAGGAGTTGATGATAAGAATATACAATAGAGAAAAGTAATAATTGAGTAGTGGGAAACGAAAGCAAACTGTAGAAAGGCATACAAATTATCTCTTGTGAAATTTAACTGTGCTGCGGAATTATTTGTTGTTTGCAGACATCTTGCAGGCTGGGAGCTCCTTCACATCGGACATACGTATAATTAAATTGAGGTGGGGTATTCAATGGTCTCGGTAGCAGGCTGGAAATATGAGAATTGTCAAACATACTGTGTTAGTTATTGATTTTTTTAAAGGACAACTGATTTAGTTAATAGAACTGTTCACATATATAAAGAAACATTATTAACTATGTGTTTCAGGGAAGATCGGCCACTAGTTTTAATATTTGTATCAGTTGTATTACCCATATTGTAAATGTCATCTGGGCATATTGGTTATAGATGGTAGAGATTCTCATGTTAGCTTTCTGCGGATAAAAATGACTTTTTGTGATTTAAGGATCTGGCTCTCGAGAGTGGAGAGCCACAAACGTTGCTGAAATATAAAAGCCAGCTTCAAAAAGTCAGGAGTTTTGATCTGATGTATGTAAGACTCACATGCTAACCCCCAGGCTCACACAACAGTAGCCATATATACAACCCTTCCTCTCTACAACTTCAAGGCATGCAGAATGCTGCAGAAGAAAAATTCTATAGTGAGTATATTGGAATTTTAGGCACCAACACAAACACATATATATAAGAAAGCCCATATTTTATTATAACAACATTAAAACAAATAGTCTGAACATCTATTTTTTCTCATAGCTCTGTATATATTGGTGGTAATATCATATTATAATTTACAGGTCCAGAATTAGACCCCAACAACAAAAGGACATCTGTAACCTAATGTATATGACTGACGTGTTTTGAATTTCCAGTTCTTCAGGGGAAAAAACTGAACACCAATGCTGAGAGATATACATAATCAGCCTATGGCAAATTTTCAAAACAGCCCAGCGTGTGCACTCCAGTGGTGGTCAGCCTCCAAGGGGAAGGAAGGTACAGGGAAGCACAAAGAGATCCAAGGGTAAGCAGGGGCACAAAAAAGCATGCTTGACAGGGCCCATCCATAAGAACGACCAGCCGGCAAGATCCACAGACATCAGAGGTGGAAATATACTGTTATATAGACAGGATATATACAATATATATAGAGCATACTGTTCAGAACCCCTCCTTCACAGAAGCCATATATATTCCTCTCCTAAAGGCACACCAATGCAGCCATAGAAACAATTGTCGTAACCCCCATTCCAAATTTACAATATATAAACAGTTATCTTTACCCCCCTCCTCTTCTGCATAACAAGGTCATATACAGTCCTCATCATTTCTAGTTTCATCGCCATTGTTGGCGGTATTTAAAGGATTTATTGATTACTGTTATGCCTAAAAGTGTTTAGGTCCCTTAGCAGTATTGTCAATAAAAAAATACAATACAAACTACTCAGACCTGTGTGTCATCATACAAACCAACCATCACACTGTAAGGAGAGGGGACATGGTTCCCTCCATGGTCCGTGTCATGTGACTGGAAAGTCTCTTTTTCCTAACTCTGTGCAGTGGCATGCCTAGCCAACACGTAGGTCTGAGTGAACGAGTTTAATGGGGTAGAATGTCTTAATCGCTAGGGCATTTATCCAGTCACCTTGGTGACTTGGCTGGAAGACCTACATTTTATAATCCCTGCCTTCCTCCACAAAGGACAGTAGGACAGAACGCTTCAAGTGTAATGCTCACCAGTAGAGGCAAATATAACACTACAAATTATTTAAACTATTGAACTGTAATAGTCAGTTTTGTAATCACAACTTCCCATTGGTTTGCCTCATTTCTTTATGTACACTGCTCAAAAAAATTATAGGAACACTCTTTAATCAGAGTATAGCATCAAGTCAATTAAACTCCTGGGATATTGATCTGGTCAGTTAAGTAGCAGAGGTGGTTGTTAATCAGTTTCAGCTAATTTGGTGTTAATGAAATTAACAACAGGTGCACTAAATGGGCAACAATGAGATGGCCCCCAAAACAGGAATGATTTTACAGGTGGAGGCCACTGACATTTTTTTCCTAACTCATCTTTTCTGACTGTTTTTTACTAGTTTTTGAATTTGGCTAGGGTCAGTGTCACTACTGGTAGCAAGAGGCGATATCTGGACCCTACAGAGTTTGCATAGGCAGTCCGACTCTTCCAGGAAGGCACATCAATATGTGCCATTGCCAGAAGGTTTACTGTGTCTCCCAGCACAGTCTCAAGAGCATGGAGGAGATTCCAGGAGACAGGCAGTTACTCTAGGAGTGCTGGACAGGGCCATAAAAGGTCCTTAACCCATCAGCGAAGGACCGGTATCTGCTCCTTTGTGCAAGGAGGAACTGGAATGAGCACTGCCAGAGCCCTACAAAACTACCTCCAGTAGGCCATGTGTTGTGCAATGTCTCTGACCAAACAGTCAGAAACAGACTTCATGAGGGTCTGATGACTGGCCTGAGGGCCTGACATCCTCTAGTGGCCCCTGTAAAGGATTTATTGATTACTGTTATGCAAATAGTGTTTCGATTAGCATTTGTCATAAAAATACAATACAAATACTCAGACCTGTGTGTCATCATACAAACCAACCATCACACTGTCAAGATGAGGAGACAT